ACCATCAAAAGCAGCCGCGCCGAGGACTGCGCTGCCATCCCCGTCACCGATATCGATGACTTGCTCAGCCAAATGGGTGCTCCCGAGAGCAGGGCTTCGCGCACCCCGTCGCGAGCGGAAAGTCCCCTCCGAGATGAGTACACCACGATGTGCTGCTGTGGGACTGATGAAGGCTGTCCCGGATCTGAGCCACGACCAGCCAAGGAGGAGCTGCTGGAAAAAAATAAGAATTGTGGAGCTAATGCACAAGGAGTTTTGGGGCTGTCTGTGTTGGACTCCATTAACACAGGCAAACTTTTTACTGTGAATAAAAACTCTTTAAATAACTATTCTAGAAATTTTAGCAGTTTAAGTGAGGATGAGTTGCCTGCAGCAAACTCTCTGGAAGGTAAGAGAAGTGACCCATTTCCAAAGTCTATGTATGGGGCTGCAGAGGATTCTCACTCGGACGCAGAGTCTGTCACGGAAACCTTTGACAGTGCTAATGAGGTGTTGCTTGGGCTGTGCACTGCTGCTAATGCCCCTGCAGTCTGTACTGTAACAGAGTCGGATGAGGAGCAAATTGAGATTTGTTGCATGAACAATGAGCCGCAAAAGCCCACACAGGAGCAGCATCTCCAATCTGCAGCAAGCTCATCCTCTCTGTCCCCACTGCACCCTTACGGCAGCAAAGTAGTGCAAACTGCTGAGGACTGTGCAATGTGTGGGTCACTGGAGACAAGCATCAATAAATTAGGCTTGGAAGATCACGGTGGTCCCACTCCATGTCCCTCACAGTGTTCAGATGTGTCCTCTGCATCCTTGTGTTCTCCTTCCTCAGTTTTCCTGCCAGAAAAAGACACCCTAAAGAATTCGGTCAGTATTCCTGAAGTTTACTCTTTCTGTAACAATGGTGCCTTAAGTACAGAAGAACAGATGGGTTTGGGGAACAGTAACGGACATATGAAATGCTGTGAATCCATTGAAGAGGAAGGGTCTCTGCACTGCAAAAAGATAAGCTTTTGCTCTGCTAGAAATGTCAATGGCTTGGAGAACAACTTGCTTGAGAAAGAAGGATGTCATGATGAGCAGAGATCCAAATCTGAAAACGAAACGGTGGTTGATGACTGTAAGCATGCTATTAGTTATTGCTCAGTGACGAAAGAAACCAACGGTTTGTCCAACTTGTCTAAAACAGACAGCAATCATGTGAATGCATTGTCATCAAAAGCAATATCACTCAGGTCCCCCCTTCCCACTAGATCTAAAGATCCAAAGGCTAATACAACTCATGACTTGCCAGGGAAAAATGAGAAAATTAACTCTGTGACTTCAGGAAGGACTTCAAATGGAAAAGTCCAAAGCTCAGGCACAAATCACTGCAAAGGAGCTGCAGTACCGCACAGCCCATCCTCACAGAAAAAATCCTGTCAGGAGTCTAAGGGAATGGCACAAAAAAGTATAATGGACACCCTTTTAAATAACCAGAAGGCCAAAGCAGGACCAAAGCTAAAAGGGTTCACCATCAAAAGCAAAGCAAAGGCAAATTCAGATTCTTCTGGCATTAATCCTACCAAAGTCAGTGGAGCTGATCAGAAAAGGATTTCTGTTTCTCCACAGCTGTCCCCTAAACTCCTGGGGAAGAAAACACCATTGTCCCGTAATTCACCTACAAACCCAGATCCTGGCAAGAGCATTTCAGCAGCCTCAAGGACTCTGAAGTCAGAGCTAGAAAATAAACCATCACTGGTCATTTCTGAAGATTCACTTCTGCCTCTCCTGAATGGCTCTGGCAGCCCAACAGCGAGCAGTGAAATGAAGTGTGACTGTGGGGAGCTAACCCACCCGCAGCAGGCATGGGGAAAGCCAAAATAAAAGCAAGTTTCCATGCAGCCTGCAGTATGTCAGGGTAAGGGTGTTAAGGTGGATGATGTCAGAGCCAGAGACAGTCAGTCCAAAGTCACTTCATCTCCTCAGGGGATACCAAAAGTGGAATATGTGAAAGGGAAGACTGAGAACGCTGGAGCAGGTCTGAATGCAATCAAGAGCATCTATAGTGCAGGTGACCTTAGGCAATTAGATCTGCAAAACGTAGGACCATCTGCTGGAGGCTCTTATTCGTTGAGGTCCCCCTCTGTTCCACAGGAGCAGCTGGAAGGGCAGGAGATCCAGCGCACTTTCATTGAGGTGAAGCTTTCTTCCTCTTCCTCTTCCTCCTCTGCCTCTTCCTCACCAGCATCACTTTTGCAGCTGCCATTGCTGGCGAAAACAGAAGAGGCAAACACAGAAATGTCTCGGCTGACTGAGGATATGCAGACCATGCAGTATTTCTCAAAAGGGGATACAGCCAGAGACAGAAATCTCTATTGCTTGTCGAAACCTGTGACAAGAACTTACTCAATGCCAGCCCAGTTATCAGGTCACTTGAGGGAGGACTGCCATGTTGCAGAGGTTCATCCCATGCAAGGCCCCCAGGGCCACGCTGCAGAGGAGAAATACCCCCAGGTGGGGACGGGGATGTTAAAGATGGTCCATCTCAACCTGCCGAATGGCCAGAGTGGGAAGGAGCAGGCGTACACCTCCAAAAGCACCCAGAGGGGCCATGACACATTCCCCTCAGCCAGCGACATTAGCTGCCCTGCCACCGATAAGCTCAGGAGCTTCAGGAGGAATTACTACTACTATGAGCTGAACTGGCCGCATGAACCTACCTCATCCTTCTCTGTCAAACAGAGGATCAAATCCTTTGAAAACCTGGCAAATTTCGACCGGCCCATCGTGAAGGCCATCGATATACACTCGGCTGCGAGATCCCCCCTTGCCAGGAGGTCATGCAGTGGCATGGACGGCGCAGCCAGACACTCCGAACATGCCCGGCGCAGCTGGAGCTCCTATGGCGGCAGCCTGAGCCCGGCCAACGCCATAGCCAAGTCTCCCACCAGCGCAGAGCCCATGCATGTGGCAGATGGTGGCAAGGGGGACGGAAAGCCCCAGAGGAGCGAGGAGGGCGGTGCTGGGGCAGCCGCGGCTGCCTTTCCCCCCTCAGCCTCGCAGGCACGTCGCAGCCGGGGCCTGGGGCGGCCACCGCTGTCCCGCTCCAGGCTGCGGGAGCTGAGAGCGCTCAGCATGCCCGACCTGGACAAGCTGTGTGGAGAGGGCTTCTCGGGGCCACCACAGCCCGCCTGCTTCAAGACGGAGCTGGAAATCACACCCCGCCGAGCCCTCCGCGTACCTGCCCGGAGTGACACAGCCCCGCCAGCCCGCGGCGGCCCCACTGAGGTGGGTGCAATGGGGATGGGTGCCAGCAGCCCTCGGGACAGCGGCTCTGGGACACCGGGGTCTGCTTCGGATGATGACGTGCCCCGTGGCAGCTCTCCGGATGGGGAGCGCTCGGAAAACAGCTGGTCCATCAGGTTGGTGTCGGCTTTGCTGTTTGTTTTGTTTTCATCCCCACAAGCGTCTCCTGAGGCGAAGCTGCCCCATTGCCCCAGGTCCACCCCAGCGTGCGTTTCAACTTTGGCCCCAGTCCCCATTCCCCTGACGATTCAGGGTGCCGTTCTTCATGCTCTTGATCGCTCGGAGCTGCCATGCTGCTGTCTGGTGGTGGCTGTGCTTCAGAACAGGGTGAAACACTTTATCCTGGGAGGGCTGGGCTCCTTTTCTCTATCCCCTCTAGCTGATTTTGGTCAGTTTTTGGCCACATTACGGCACAGCAGCCGCTGTGGAGGGGAGGCTGTGCAGCGCTGGCTGCCAGCACAGCCTGCGGTGACCAACGAGCTTGTTGTCCTGCCAGAAGCAGTCTTCCAATGTAGCTGTCTCCTTGTTTTTGTTAAAGTCTGTTGCTAAAACCACTGGGGAAAGAGAAGGGGAACAGAATGGGGACTGATTTTCAGAGTTATTCTTAAATCGTCTTCTCTGCCCCTTCTCGTTTTCCCAGCATACACCATTTCTTACCTGTTTTCAAGATTTCTGCTTGTTGATGAGCTGGTCCTTCATTGTTTACCCTAATGCAACCTACATTGTATACCTGAAATGTATCTCTATACGGTCTAGAAATATAAAGCTGTCTTTTATATTTTTCTGTTCATTTTAGCTTGGATGAGCTGCTCGTCTCAAGCCTGGACCAGCAAAAACTGCAATCTGTTTTGTCAGCAGTAGTACCAAAATGTGATGTTGCTGCTATGCTCCAAGAAGTCAAAGCACAAGTAAAGGTAAAAACCAGAAGATAAAACTAGATTATTGGTGGTATTTTTAAGGGTGTTCTTAACAGCAGATAAAATCTCTTCCAAACAGTTTCAGAGCTCCTCCAGTAGTCCTCCTGTGGTAGGTTACAGTTGATGGTAGTTTTACTAATGATGGTTTTTGAATGCCTGCTATAAACCCATAATAAATTTGAAAGGCTTTTGTATAAGAAAGGGTATTGTTTGTCCAGTGTGAAAGCAGTTTTGAACCACAATAAACAGGCCTATTTTAAGTGGAGAAGAATGCCTCCATTTGAGTCATTATTACAGCTGAGAAACTCCTGGATTTGCCAATAATTGCACATCAGAATTTAACTTTCCATCAGCCATCTGGGTCAGACTCACTTTCCTCACGGCACAAGGGAAGCTCTGCTCCTCTCTGTGCCTGGAAGCACCCGCCTTTTGCTGGAAGCTGCGGTCACGGAAATTGAATTTATTTTGCTTAATGCTGAACTAGTGGCTTGCAACACCAGAAAGCGGCTGCAGGAGGGTTTGTAAGAGACTCCTGTGACCTTTTTGCTCTCTTCTGTGGAAACTGGTTATTGCGTTAAGATAACCTGCTTCATTATCTGGGTGTTTAGAGAAGGCCTCCAAAGTGAAATGATTGCCAGAACGTTACTTTCCTGTTTGCAGTGTTTGTGTTTTTGGGATACATCCACATCCTTTTAAAATCAGAACAGAAGTTGATAAAATAATGACAGCATGAGAAGGGAAACTGCCATCTGGTCTGCATAACTGCTGGCTGAGCTGCATTTAGAGCACTCCTGAGTCTTACTCACAAAGGTTGCTATTTCAAACATAGATCAGGCTGGGGGGAACAGGACCTTCCCAAAATACCCAGCTTTACCTCCTTCCAGGGACAGCATAGCTAGAGCTTGCAAGTCCGAAGAGCTTGGTGAGCCAAGAGGGTTTGGTAGGTTTACTGATAAAATTAGGATTGGATTGTACTTCTGGCTGAAGGTAATTAAGTGTTCTTTGAACTCTTTTGCATGGGGTCTTGGAGAGATTATTTATTTATGCCACTTTTCAAAGCTTGAGAGCTCAAATATTTGTAAAGCTGAATGCTTTTTGGAATGCACTCCTTGTCTCCACAGTTTCTTATCCATTTTTAAGCCCAGTATGGCACATACACTGGAAAATGTTACGCTAGTCAAATGCTGGATTTAAATGTACAATAGGACAGTTCATAGTTATGCAATTGCCGAAAAATGAGATGGACTGCCTTATTCGGACTGAGAGCTTCCCCGGGAAGAGTTTGTCATCATCTTTTGCTCTGAACAGTGCTGAATTTTCTGCTAGCATTTAATAAGTGCTACTAATATAAAAAAATAAATGTACGGGCATTTTATTGTTCAAATCTCTATGACTGACGATCTTTGGCTAACAGGCTAAACAGAGGTGATCACTGGAGGCCTTGTGTGTCCACTGTGTGGCCCAGTAAAGCAACAGGCGTCCATAGCCAGGTCTCTCTGCCCCATAGTACACATGCTGGCTGAGGACATCATTGATAGCTGGGAGGGGGGAAATGGGAAATACACGACATCAGCAATAGGAAGCCAGGGTTCAGACTGTGTTGCTGACTGGCCCAGGACGTGCGGTTCTCGCGCAACCCTCTAATGTCTGAGACTGATATTTTTATGTTTTTTTCTTCCCCAGTGTAAGCAAATTAAGTTGTGGTAGCAAGGGCTGGAAAGAACCTGATCTCTTAAACAAAGAGGGTTGCTGTAGTACTTAACGGTCAAAGATATGTTTATGTTTCCATTACCCTCACCACACTTTGAAAGGGGATAGCCTACATACTTAACTGGTTTTATTATTTCTAGCCTAACATAAAGCTGTTCTCACTTAAGCACAGGTAAGAAGGGTCTTAACATCTACCAAAGACTGTGGACTAAGGTATTCAGCCTCGACTGCCCCTCTCTCCTCAAGCACTGATGTATCAGTGGTGTGGAGCAGGGTGGCATCGGTTTCTGACAGTGGCTCTGTGCATTGCAGGGATGCCTCTAATGCAGAAGATCTTCCAGGGCCACTATTTGGCAAAAAAGCATAGAGTGAGACCAAGAATATGACTGTTGTTTCACCAAAAGATGATGATAATCTGTGGTTCCCTGTGCCTTTTGAAACAAAATTAAAAGGCAAACGCTGAGTTAAAATGTTGAGTTTAGTGAACTAATATGTCATTTAATGCTAAATAGATTAAGAGGTTGGTTTCTTATGATGTGCCATTAATTTTAGTGTTGGCAGTTTCTGGAAATGACTGATGTTGGATGGAATCCCAAGGAAAAGCTGAGAGACCTGCTTTCTACTCCCCATTTCTGATGCTCTGTCCCACAGACGGTTACTATCCCCTTCCTCCACCAAATGCCTGCTTACAGTCCCCCCCTTACACCACAAAATGTGGTCTCTGTAACAGCATCTGATTTTGTCCTAATAAATGTTCAGAAGACAGCACCAGACTTGCAGACGGGACTGCTTCTCTCTCATGGCAAATTCTGTATTTTGGCAGCAGGCCATCACTTCAAAGAAATCAGCTTTACACCTTTGTTCTGACCTGGAGCCAAGTTCAGCCCTGGTGCACACCTGCACCAATCCCTTTCCTGTGCTAGATGTTCCCATTTCCACAACAGCACAGCTTAGTCCCGTTTGGATCACTAACAAGCTCCTTACTTTCAGCTCCCAAGTGAAACAGTTTTTCCTGCTGTCCCATCTAACCTTCCCAAGCTTCAGTTGGTAGCCACTGCTCCTTGCAAGATTGTCCAGCACTACTGAGAAGAGGTTGATGCAGCTGCCCTGCATTATGTCTTTGTAACTGCCTTTCAAGAGGAAAGAGAAATGGGATGAAAGTATAGAATCATAGAATCATAGAATCGTTAAGGTTGGAAAAGACCCTTAAGCTCATCGAGTCCAACCATTAACCTAGCACTGCCAAGTCCACCACTAAACCGTGTCCCTAAGCACCACATCTACCCATCTTTTAAATACCTCCAGTTACTAGAGAGAAGAGACCGACCCCCACCTCGCTACAGCCTCCTGTCAAGTAGTTGTAGAGAGCGATAAGGTCTCCCCTCAGCCTCCTCTTCTCCAGACTAAACAACCCCAGCTCCCTCAGCCGCTCCTCATAAGACTTGTGCTCCAGACCCTTCACCAGCTTCATTGCCCTTCTCTGGCCATGCTCCAGCACCTTGATGTCCTTCTTGAAGTGAGGGGCCCAAAACTGAACACAGTACTCGAGGTGCAGCCTCACCTCACTAAAAGTGTTAGTAAGTCCCTGGAAAGTACAGTGCTTGGTCCAGAGAGGTGTATGGGAACTATTGAGTTTTGGCTGCAAGATGTCAAGCAATGCAAAGTTGATTACAGCCTGTGAAAATTAGGGTGCCCAAGGTTTAATACCCTTCCCCTATCCTAATTTTGACTTTGCTTTCTAGCCTTGAACTGACTGAAGAAACCTTTGCTGTCACCTGAGTTCTCCTATATGGCTGCTACTCATCTGTAGCATGAACGGAAATGCATTTAATGTCTCAGTTTCAATTGCTTGAGTTGCTTTTTTCACGCACCATAATCTGAGGGTACTGGGAATTTGTCATTTGTGCAGGAACTTGGTCTTGATCTTTGGTTTTGTTTTTCTTCTCCTTCTCCTTCCCCTTCCCCTCCACCTCCATTTTTCTGCTAGAGCAAAGAAGACACATACTTTGTAGTCTTGCACAAAGAAGAAGGAGCTGGCCTGGGATTTAGTGTTGCTGGAGGAATAGATCTGGAACAGAAATCAGTCACAGTAAGTAATGGCTGAAGTCATTTTTTATTGCAAAGCTCACTTTAAAGCAGGCTGATGATTAGATCAATTGCTCGTTTGCACTTGACTCACTGCAAGTCATTCACAGTCATAAAACAGTGTCTCTCAGAAGTGGCTGCATACCATCTGCTACTGAAATCACGGAGTGTCTGGGAAGTGTAATTTTTATTATTGGAGATGGATGCCAATTATGTTTTCAGTCTTTTAAAAGTCTGTTACTGGATGGGATCAGCTAGATCTAAATCCTATGCACATAAATAAAATTCTGCATGCAGTTGCAGTGCATGCAACCTTTTAGGGGAGATTTTCGTTCCCAGTCCTTGAAAGTAAACTCTGTGCAGCAAAGTTTTTGAAGGATTTTGCAAATACTGAGAATGACTGTTTCAGACCTCGGCAAACATTCTGGATTTCATGTCACAAATTTGTTTTGGTGTTACTAAGACCTGTGGGTGGTCAGTAAATGAGGGTTGTTGTTTTGTTTGGGTTTTTTTGGGTTTTGTTTTGTTTTGTTTTAAAGTCTTATACAGCATTCTGGACCAAAGATACTGTGTGCAATTAAGTGACATCAGTGTGTAAAAAGTGATACCAAGCAACTTATATACTGTTCAAAAACAGATCAGTGAGACAGAAAAATCCGAGAAAACCAGTGTCCCATGTGACAATTCCTTTACTTAAGATATGCATTTAAATTTTGCCCTGAAAGAGAGAGATCCATTAAGGGCTGAGATTAGAAGAAGGGTATGTCCTCAGTCTTTGGGGCCTGCAGCAGCCCTTGCAGTCTGGTTTTTGCTCTTAGACAAGACCAATTTAAGTAAATGTATTTTGCATTAAGCAGTCATTGAGTTAGAACATGGACACAATCTAGGGAATGGACTCCACTTCTCTCGCTACAAAGGTTGTTTTCCCTGTCTCTGGCCCGAACGCTCACAGTGTCAGCTGTGAGCAAGGGGAAAGCTCAACAGTGTCCCACCCCAGAGAGCTCCTCACCTAGAGACTGGGATGCTACCTAAAAATATGATGTTGAGCTCTCTGAGGCTGAGTAGCTGATGAAGTAGGTCTTTCTCCTGAATGCCATTAGCCATGAGACCAAAAGAGCACCAGCTCCTGCTCTTTCCAGATCCTCTTTGTTCAGTGTGTGTAAAGCATGTTTCTCAGGTGAGGAACCTTTTAGTGTCCTTGACCTACTGGGATTCTGGGTCCCAGCTGGATTTAGGGTTGGCATTGGGTGCTGAGCTGCTTAGATGGGCTGTTCTGCCCACACTTGGGTGCAGAAATAGAAATGCCTTGTGAGCTTCAAGGTACTGAGGAGTTGAGCATGTGAGGGAAGGCAGCAGATGTCTTGGACATGACCCCTGTATTCCACTTACCTCTTGCATTTCGGTGTCTATAGCTGTCATTGAGGCTGTTATTCCAGCTTTGAATGCCTGCTTAGACTGGCTGGAAATTATCTCCTTGGATCTGTAGGGTTGTGGCAGGTGCCCATCTCAGTGTGGCCCTGCAATGAGAGGGAACAGGAGCCAAAAGGCTTCTGATTCCCTGCTGTTGGTCTGGGTATTAAGACAAATTCCTAGAGAAAATGCCATGCAGAATTGTGTGCACAGATTTGCTGCCTTGAACCTTTGGCCAGTGGACCTAGAACTGTGTGCGTGGGAAACCATATTCTGGCTGCTAAAATTACAGTGCATGACAGGCAAGTCTTTAAATACTAGGTCTTGAGTCTTTTAGTCAGTTCCTTTCTGTAAATGGCACACATCTAAGTCTCAGCTGCACTTGCTGGAGTTTACTCAATGTTTAATCCACTCTGAATAGAGTATTTTTTTCCTCTAGAAAAAATGCGTTTCAAGCCACTAAATTGTCCCTTTGCATCTATTTGCATGGTATTTGATCAGCCAAATTGAGATGGACAATTAAATACTTGTACAGCTGCAGTAAGTCAGAGCCTTTCTTTGCACAGATGCTGTGCACCACTTAGAAGTGTGCGTTAGAAAACAGCACAGGATGCATGTCCCAGTGGGAATTTGGGGAATGGGTATTGCGCATTGTTGTTCCTGGTGTTTGCTGTAGCACGGATGTGGATTTAACCTGTGTGACACTTGGAAGTATGTTAATTAAAGACTTTTGAGGAGTTCAATGAAAGCATAAGTGATTTGTGATATTACATTCTCTAGCTGGTTTTGGTTGTCTTTGGCTTAGAAATGACCGTGCAATAATAGCATCTTTTCCTCTGCTTTCCTCCCCATCCCTAACTGCAGTTTGTATCCAGTCACTTAGGCCTTTGTATTTGAGGGTGTTCATTTGAGCAGATGTTGTGTACTTGATATCTGAGCAGTGGGCACTGATTGCAAACTTTGGTAGGGACTCCGTGTTCACCTTGGCCTGTAGAGCACTATGCGTGGTCATGAGGTTAAAGCATCCTTAAGTTAAAATCTTTCTCGTAGGTCCACAGAGTGTTTTCAAAGGGAGTGGCCTCTCAAGAAGGGACTATTCATCGAGGAGATCTTGTTCTGTCAATAAATGGCAAGTCTCTTGCAAGCTCAGTCCATGGGGATGTCCTGAACGCTCTTCATCAGGCAAGACTCTACAAATACGCGGTCATTGTCATCCAGAAGGAAAAAGACAAAGCAAACAACTCCTCCAGACTTGAGATATCAGCTACTGGCAGAAAATGTGTGGGGTCTGGAAAGGATGTTTCCATGGAAATAGGAACAGGTATGATCTTTGTCCAAGAACAGTTGGAAGGACTCCCTTGCAGAGCAGACTGAAGGGAAAAATGTCCATGTGTTTTTGATTAAAAGCATCTGTGCCGTATGTGATTGAAGGGAGCAAATGAAATTACCTTTAAATTTTATTTGTTCTCTTTGGAGCCTAAACACAGTTTGGTTTTTTGTTTTAAATATCATAACTAGGCAGAAACTCAGAAGGACATTTAGGGCCTAATCCAATTTCTACTAAAGTTAGTGATTCCACATACTCTTCCAATCCAGGATAAACTCCTTTTAAGTAATAACAGTAGTCAGTGCAAGAAAGCAAACAACCAAAAAAGAAAAAAGAATAAAAAAAAAACAAACCAGCCTCAGAGAAAACCCCAAGCCCTGCAGTTTGTTGTGCATAGGGACTGAACTTGCTCTTTGTAATAGCAGATTTCATACAGTTTCTACTAAAAACAGAGAAGACATGATTTTGATATTAGAGTAAATGGAGGTAAGCCAAATCCAAGTCAGCCATCCCATAGGAAATTAGGGATAAATGGTTTAAGTGGGAATGTATCAGTGGAATGGTAAGTTGCTGTTTGGGAACAAGACAGCATTTCAGTGTGAAGGCTGCACTTGGGGTGTTACAAACAGATCTCTCAAATTTTTTTTTTTGTGGCATTAAGACACAAAACCCTTTAGCACCTGCCTGTATGCTGCTGCTTTGGGATCCGGGGGTGACCTGCTTCAGTCCTGCACTGCTGCAGTGTCCCTGGGAGGGAGTGAGCAGTGGGTACAGTTTATTGCTGAGAGATTTGATGATGCGGCTTCCAATACCAGGCACTCAGCTCAGACCACCCCAAAACCAGGATATGGAGCTGCCACTCACCCATTTTTAACCCGTTGGCTAAAATCATTACTGTTTGTTTGTTTTTCCTGTAGCCGTTTCTATTGTTTTATGCTTTCACGGGGTTTTATAGTACAGCTTTGTAATACGGCTTAAAAGAAATAGGAAGCACTCTGTAAATTAATGGATCAGCCTTTCTGGAATTGCTCCCGTGGATATAATATATGTAATTACTTCAGAATCCGTTTCTACCCTGAACTCCCTGCGTCCTGCACGTTGGCAAATGCAGAGTATCTGCTGGGTGCAGGCACTAGGGGGCAACATTATCTCATAAACAACATATATGGGGTTATTAAAAGTGTAATTCCATCCTGTGAGGCAAAGCACGTCTTCAAATGTTTTAGAGAACGTTTAAAGTTGTTTGAGATAAAGGTAGCAGTTAATTTGTGGTAATGCGGACTGCATGATTTTTTATTCACACAAGGCAAAGAGGGTCTTGTTTTCCAAAATTGTAGATTTATTTCCTCCTAAGCAAAACCATATTTTATGTCAGCTACATAAATATAGCGTTCTAAAAATATCTGCTATGTAGGAGGTAGAATGCACCTACAGGTAATTATGGTTATTTCCATAGATATGAGACCAGAAACAATTATTCACACTAGTGAGTGATTACAGACTTTTTCTTAAGAGGATAGAGCATGTTTGTTTAATGTAATGTTTCATTCATTACTGTTATTTAAAAAGACGTGGCTCATTGAATAAGCAAGTGTGAACAAATGAAAGACAAAGAAATGCTCTCCACTCACTATTTTTGTAATTTTTCAGTTATTTTGTTGATGTTTAGAGTCTTTGCTAAGTTTGCAAAGCTTTACTTTTGCAAAAAAAAAAAAAGCCTTGATAGGTTTTTTGTTGAACATGCAAAGTGAAAATGGTTCTGTGCATAAATGCATTTTGTACTGTCCGCCCTTCATAGCTGCAATAATACACATTCACTTTTGAGAAACTGGGTGACCACATGTTCTAGTCTGAATATGAACTGAACTCTGAATTGCTTTGTCACTGCAGCAAAAACAAAATGAACCAAACACAACTTGCAATTTACTGTTAACTGCATAACAAGATGCTGTATATATTCCGTCACAGATCCAAACCTGGATATGAATGATGTCATCTGCGTTGAATTATTGAAAACCTCTGCTGGCTTGGGATTCAGTCTTGATGGTGGAAAAGCTTCCATTGCTGGAGACAGGCCCTTGCTTGTAAAAAGAATATTTAAAGGTACTACAAGCATGCAGTGGATATTATCCCAGTTTTCCTTTTGTGTATTGTACAGACATCTTAATTCTTGGACTCAACTTTTTTTTGATGCAAGGGTGGTTTTTGTGGCCTTTGTTTATTACCACTTACTAGCCAGAGTGGTCAGTAAAAAAAACACTCCTGGGAATGGCTAGGAATTGCATCTGCTAGTAAATGTTTGTGGAGCAATCTGATTTACTAAATATGATGCAGTTGCTTCCTGGGCTTGTCCACTATTCTAGACATTAAATTACAGCAGCAATATCGTATGTAACGGTTTGAGAGGTTCATGCCTTATCCCGTTCTCTTTTCTAAGAGAAGCACAGTGCCGATAATCAGTGTAGTTCCAAAGCACCATCCTGCATTATACCAAATTATTAATTTTACTTTTTTGTTCTTTTTTTTTGGTTAGATATCAGTATTAACTTTCACCAAGAATATGTGATGTTCATATTCAAAAACTGCTGCTCTTGCATGCTTTGTTTGTCAGCAGATAGTTAAACTTACATGAAATGTGTATAGAAAGGGAACCAATCCCACGACTGTGCTGTGATTTTAATATGGTTTTGTCTGGGATTCAGTTTAGTGAAAAATATAGGACTTTCTAAAGGAAGCTTAAACTCAGTGAAGCTGTGGGTACGCAGCATTTTTACGGGATTACTTTTCAGTGGTTTATTCTCCCATCAAGGAAAAAAGTCAAACTGATATTTCCTGAATTGCTTATCAATTTCTGTGTGTGTGTTTATTTTCCCCTCTTTAGAAATTGATTCTGAGGATAAAGAGCATGTTTAAATTTTGAGCTTATTAATTTATATCCTTAGATACAGTCCTTTTCCATTCTCCTCCACATGATGGCTGATGTAAGTTCAATTATCATTACAGAAAACATACTTTCATCAGCAGTGAAGGGTGTACCCCTCCCTAGGAGCTGTGTCTGTGTCTCGTATGTTTGTCCTAGTTTGCTACCCGTGTTTGGTTTGTTCATCCCTGTTATCTGGGTTTTACAATCTGCTGCGTTATCTGCTACTTACCATGTTAAAATTCTGTTTGAGAAAATACACCCATGCCACATACAACCAGGTTTTCTTACAGCAACTGAGATAACATACAGTGTATTTTGGGCCCTTCAGTACAAGGACATCGAGGTGCTGGAGCGTGTCCAGAGAAGGGCAACGAAGCTGGTGAAGGGTCTGGAGCACAAATCTTAAGAGGAGCAGCTGAGGGAGCTGGGGTTGTTCAGCCTAGAGAAGAGGAGGCTGAGGGGAGACCTTACTGCTATCTATGACTACCTGACAGGAGGTTGTAGTGAGGTGGGGGTCGGTCTCTTCTCCCAAGGAACAAGCGATAGGAGGAGAGGAAACGGCCTCAAGCTGCGCCAGGGGAGGTTTAGGTTGGATATTAGGAAAAACTTCTTCACCGAAAGGGTAGTCAGGCACTGAACAGGCTGCCCAGGGCAGTGGTTGAGTCCCCATCCCTGGAGGTATTTAAAGGACGGGTAGACGTGGTGCTTGAGGACATGGTTTAGTGGTGGACTTGGCAGTGCTAGGTTAACGGTTGGACTCAATGATCTTAAAGGTCTTTTCCAACCTAAGTGATTCTATGGTTCTATATTTCATACACTCATGCTGCTTCCTTCAAAAACAGACATTTTTTCTGAGAACAAGGATTTATCTTGGTTAAAATAACATTTTCTGGGAGATGCAGCACAGGGTAGATTGCTAGAGCTGAGCTGAACATAAGTGACTTGTACTGAAAGTTCTGGTGTTGGAAAAACGGTTTATTTGCTGTTTATCACAGTGGAAAGCAAATTTTTGTGTATTTACTTTTTTTTTTTTTTAACACTGACTTTTTCCCCCTTTTGCTCCTAGGTGGTGCTGCGGAGCAATCTGGAAACATAGAAACTGGAGATGAAATTCTTGCTGTGAGTGGAAAATCATTACTTGGCCTCATGCATTATGATGCCTGGAACATTATTAAATCTGTGCCAGAGGGGCCTGTTCAGTTACTAATCAGAAAACACAGAACTTCGGTATGATGGAAGCACTACATCTAATCACACTTGCCAAGACAAAACATTTAAAACTGGCTAGAAGCGGTCTTTGTTTCTAAAGCCACACAGAAGTGTCTTAATGCTCTACAGAGAGGTGCTAAGAGCTTTGGAGAACCACTGAGCAAGCATGTGATGAGCATCATAAAATCTCACCTAATTATCAAGGATGAAGGAAGCCAAATGTTAGAGACATTTTTGTATTATGTGGCAGTTTTAACGGAACTTCAAGACCTCTCCTGGGTTTGGTTTAAACTAGTTTAACTGAGATAGATAAATAACACTGTGCCTGTCTCTGATATTTTTAGTATCTGCAGAGTGTTGGGGGTATAACTTGTTGGTTGCCATCCTGTTGACAAGGATGGGTATTTAGACTGTACTGTATCACTTAGCTGTAATAGGACTTCAGGACACTTACTTAGGGTCTGGTCCTTTTTTGTTGTCATAAGAGAATGTCTGGAACAATCTCACTTTATTCTTCTAAGTACAGTTTTGCTAAAAATGCATGACAAAAGAGTATAATTTTGCACAACTTTTATGCCTAAAACACAAGCATTTTATTGCAAAGCTGAAAAATCCTCTTAAAATTGATGAACTGACTCAGCATCCACCACAACTGAATCTGCTCTTAGATGCAACTTGTATCTGAAAGCACTCTGCGTTAATGCAGTAGAAATCTGTGAGCAAGAAAGAGAATCATGTCCAAATAATAGGGGATTGTCCACCAAGGTGTAGGCTGAATTGTTAGTTGTGATTAAAATGGGAGCAATAAAAATTGCGTTCTGAATTTTCAAATTTAGGCTTCTAATGTTAGGGACCTTTAAAATACATATATTTTTAAAAGAGGGATAATTTCAGGTGCTGAACACTTGCAGATCCCACACACTTCAGCAATCGCTAGGTACGTCTGAAAGCTGGGCTGCTTTTATTTGGCTCCAAGAGGTTTAAGGCTGCCCAACTTGAAACACTCAAACTGGAAAATGGTAGGCTAAGGATGTGGATTATAACAGATTAAATCTGAACTGGGCCATACCTGTGGTGGCTTTTCATCGCCCTTTTTTGTTTTCTCCAGTCCAGTATTTATTTTTGCTTGTGTGAGAGTGGGTGAGGATGTATACGGAAGATACAGGTGTGCCCGGCTGCATCCGGAACAGGCTGATGCTGAGCGTTTTGGACGGTGAAACTGAAAACCGTTTGTGTAGATGGGAGAAACCATGGTGTCAGATACAGCAAAACGGAAGGGGTTGCAATGCTGCGGGTGCTTAGTTTGAATTTTCTCACCTCTACTCACACTAGAGGTATCAGTAGTGGGCCACGCTGCTGAGTGTTATTTATAGTCTGCTGTCTTGGGAGGAGAGTGTATGGGTGCAAGAGATTAGACTCTGTTAGCTTCTCTTCCTACATCTGGGATAGCTAAACAACATGAAAGAGATACAGGAGGAAATAGGTCAGTGTTCTTATCAGCTGAGAACAAGTTGTTTTTTTCCAGAGTGCTCAGGTTGTTTGTCACATTAGGCTGGAGACCGCTTGCAGCCAACATGCCCAGGGTGAAGAGCTCTCAGCCTGGAGCCGGTCCAAATCTGAAGTGCTGCCTACGTTTATAGTGAGCCAAGACACTGCGTAGCTGTTACAAAAAGGTCTGGGCTTGTCGCTTGGCCCTACCCCAAGATCATACTATAGTTCAGTTTATTTACATTTATTCAACAGTGCTTGGAGCAATTGATTCCAGGTTAGTGGAGCACTTGGTTTGGTTCGTTTCTGTGACAGCTTCGTTAGACTGCAACTCGTGATGTGCAGAGGAAAATTCAGTTCTGTGAGACAACCCAAGATGAGGCAAGCAGAAAAGCTGTGCAATGTTTGCCTAAAAATGAATAGATTTAATTCTTTTTCAGTGATGTATTAGCATGTGAATCCAGGGAGAGATGCAGCTTTTGGTTACAGGAAAGGCAATACTGTACATAGTCCTACAGCTGCTGAATTTCTGTTGAAATTAATTCAGGTTCAGTGCTGTGAAATGACTGCGGAGTTGGGTCCCCTGTGACCCCAAAGCTCAGCCGCTCTGTCGGGACTGGTCCTTGCCTCCGGTCATCTCCGTGGTGGGGGAGGCTTCAGGAGGATGCAGCACTTGGGGTTGGAGGACCACACTGAGGCTGCAGGCCTGTGTTGGGATAAAAGAGGTTACTCCTGAATATTTGCTGAAAAACAGGAGGAAGACGCTTGTCAATGACAATTAAATGGTGAGGCCTTGTTCAGGAATGACCAAAATCTGACTGTAATAGTGTGTATAATAGATACATAAAATGCATGTGGAATTTAATGCAGCGTAGTGAATACATACCTGTATACGTATAATACATAAAAGTGCAGTACTGATTTTTTGCTACTTTAGTGTGGTAAATCACAATTGTGTTATAGGAAATGGCATTTTTTTTCAGTCCACAGTTTAAAATTTCGGAGGTTCCAATACAGGGAGGTGTATGTTTCCCTCACTCCTAAACCAGTGTGAGCTTTAAGGTAAAGTCTTCATTTTGTAAATTAAACTTAATTTGAGGTGTCTTAAGATGATACGTGGTGAATATTTTCAGATGCTTATTTGCAGGTACTGTTCATTGTGAGTGATTTAGAAGGCTTTCAGTTTTCAGTAATCGAATACTGTTCAGTATTTTATTTTACGTGCACGTAGATATGTGTTGGCTGAGTAACAGCAAAGAGAAATGGGGATTTTTGTGTGTGATTCAATAGTGGCTATAATTTAAAAGATAGGTTTAATGTTTTAAGTCTGATAGTTACTATGGGTAGAATGATACACTTCTCTACTAACATTACAGCAAGAAAAAGAATAGTATTTAACCCTGATTGTTTCTGTTCCTGAAAATACCTTTTTTTTGTGAAAGAATAAGAAACATCTTTACTGATGCTACCAGTGTTGATATGATTACAGTAGCATTTCCTGATGTCTCTGTTGGGGTGACAGTCCCCATAAAAGCCCCAGAATTTATGCAACATGGGTCTGCTTTATTACAAACAGGATGGGTGGACCAAACAGATGTAGTGAACCTTTGGTTATGCACCTGGCAAAGTAAATGTTATTCTTCTGAGAGCCTGGTCGCACCAAATGACAGAGGGCGTTGCATTAGTTCATCAGTATTCAGTAGGCTGATGAGCATTTTTGGCCTTGCTGTTTGTGTGTCGGTGCCCACGGTGATTCTTCGCCATGACGGAGGGTTGGCCAAGCTCTAGGAGAGCAGTGACTCTCCGGAGACTTGCAGCTGCATCTTGGAATACCAAAAAATCAGGATGAAATTACAGACTCGGTCCACAACTCTTCACCGGGGACCTGAAGGCATTGCCGATAAGGTGAATTTGCTCCTAGATGGAGAAGGCCCGGTGGAGGGCGTTGCGGCTTCCAGGCCTGGGGCAGCCTAGGGTGCACATCCTGAACATGAGAGTGGGCTCTGGTGTGATAACTGCCATTACATATTGTGCAGCCTTTTGTACCTGGAAGCTCTTTCCCGCTTCTGTGGGGACTGCATCTGTATGAAAAACTGTGAGATTAGGCCTAAATTAGGGAGGGAGAAACATCTGATCATTTTCTTTCTTAAAAAAAAAAAAAAAAAAAAAAAAAGAGGGCAGATAAGTATTAATAACCTGTTGAGTGATTCATATTTTCTAATGACCCTCACTTAAAATTAACCCTACTTAATGTTCTGCAGTGGTTCTTGACAAAATCTGAAGGAACTGTTCCCAGATGGGAATGTTTACCTGCTTCTACATTTAGGGTATGTAAATGTATACGTGGCAATATTAAGGAGCAGTAGACTAGATTATGTGAGAAATGGGGATCCTACTTTGTGTGTTAGACTGATACACTCATGTATGATATTGTATATTTACACTTTTATTTATATAAATAAAACTTCTTATAATGAAAACTTTAATATGCCTTGTATATTATAAAAAAGTGAGTGCAATAACATGAAATAGATTGTACATTTTTCAATTTGCTGTCTCTGTTATGTAAATCTGTATCGCCATAAACTGTTTTGTTTGGGTTTTTTAGTGATTTTGAAAAATAAATGGTATCCTTAGTACTCCTCTAGATATTTATTTCTGTTATGCCAAAGTCTGTCTGGTCCACAGTTGGAACTGGCATCACAGGGACAAGGTTGTCCTGGAGAGCACAGTCAAGGACTAAGTGTTAATGCTGTCCAGATGTGCATCTAAGCTAGAAGTAAAATACCGCCCTCTAAAAACTGTCATTCAGTGTGAAGAGGATTAAAGAATTTAAGAGGTGTTAGAAGGTGTTTTACAGGACCTGCTTTTGTGTCTTGGAAGATGTGCCTTGTTTTTTCCTGCCCCTGTGCAAGGAAAATGCAGAGGGCAAAAGCGAAATGTAGAGTTCTCATTAAAAGCAGCAATCTCCGCGTCACCTATAAACTGTGCCTCCTGCCCAGCCCCTGGGCTATAAGAGAACAGGCTGTAT